GCACACACTTTCTTCTCTCAATTTATTTCTCCTGCCACCTACAACTGCACCTCGGAAAAAAAAAACCAATTCTTCTGTGACATATCGAAACATGAACTGCATTTTTTACACCCGCTCGACCACCGCGCAACCACCCGCAGGACCACCTGTTCGACCGCCCAGCATGACCACCAGCACGAGTACCCAACAGGAGGCAGGGGGTTGTGCTGAGGGGTCATGCTGAGGGGTTGTGCAGGGGGGTTGTGCTGTTGGGTTGTGCTGGAGGGTCGTGCTGGGAGTTGTGCTGGGAGGTAGTGCTAGGGGTTGTGGGGCTGTGTGGGGGGTTGTGCTGGGGGGTTGTGCTGTTGGGTTGTGCTGGAGGGTCGTGCTGGGGGTTGTGCTGGGAGGTAGTGCTAGGGGTTGTGAGGCTGCGTGGGGGGTTGTGCTGTTGGGTTGTGTTGTTGGGTTGTGCTGGAGGGTCGTGCTGGGAGTTGTGCTGGGAGGTAGTGCTAGGGGTTGTGAGGCTATGTGGGGGGTTGTGCTGGGGAGTTGTGCTGTTGGGTTGTGCTGGAGGGTCGTGCTGTTGGGTTGTGCTGGGAGGTAGTGCTAGGGGTTGTGAGGCTGTGTGGGGGGTTGTGCTGGGGAGAATGTGCTGGTAGATCGTGTTCGGGAAAGCTGGAGGATTCTGCTGGGAAAGTGGTGCTGGGCAGGGTTGTGCTAAGGGTTTGGGGATTATGCTGGGGAGGTTTGTGCTGGGGGTGGTGGTGCTGAGATTGTGCAAGAAATTGGGCTGGAGGGTTGTGCTAGGGACTTGTGCTCACGGGTTGTACTATGCTGGTGGAAGGAATATTGTGCAAGAAGACTGTGCTGAGAGATTATCAGGGTTGCGGAAAAATATTCTGGAATGTTTTGCTGGAGGGCGGTGCTGGGGGAACGTCGTGCTTGTTGTATGACAGAAAACAGTCAATTCTAGAGTTGCTTGCCCTTTTTCAACTAAATCTACATTTGAATGAAGCCGCCGTGGGCTGCTTACGTTGCCCTTCCGGAACGTGGCGGCATCATGATATTGACAAAATCCATTTCAAAGAATTGAAATTCTCAAGAATTACATTCGGAAACCATATTATAAAAAGAAAAATCAAAATAACTAAATGACTTCCTCTTAAATGTTTAAACCAAGCGGTTCTTGAAACAACACATTCTTTTGAAACAAAATTGCATAAACTGGGTGTTGCTGGGGAGGGTTGCTGGGGAGATTGGTGATGGGGAGGGTTGTGCTGGGAGGTTGTGCGGTGGGTTTATGCTGGGGAGGGTTGTGCTGGGGGGGAGGGTTGTGCTGGGTGAGTTGTGCTGAGGGATTGTGCTCGGGGGTTGTGCTGGAAGGTTGTGCTGGAGGGTCGTGCCAGTGAGTTACGCTGGGTGGTTGTGCAGTGCCGGGGGAAATTGTGATAGGGGACTGTGCTGGGGGATTGTCGGATAAGTGTGCTGAAGGGGTTGTGCTGGGGTGTTTTGCTGCGGGGTTATGAAGGGGAGGTGCTTGGGGATCGTGATGGGTGGTGGTGCTGAAGGGTAGTGCTGGGGGGTTGTGCTGGGGGGAGGGGGCGGTTTTGTTGCGAGGTTGTGCTGAGGGGTTGTGCAGGGGGGAAGTTGTGCAGTGGGGTCGTGCTGGGGAGGGTTGTGCAGGGGAGGTCGGCGACACGTAAGAGTGACCCTAAGCAAGAGTGCCCTTTGGTGCGCGGCCTTAGGGGGGCCCGCGGGGGCCTGGAGCAACCGCGCAAGCCGAGGCCGTCGGATTGCATCAACGATCGGTGGGGCGCGCTTCGATAGATCCCTAGCGCCAGCAGGCAATTGCGGACTTCCGCCAAGTCGTTCCAGGCGCCCCAGAACACCCGCCCGAGGGCTCTGCAAAGCCAGACGCAATCGGGAGCCACCGCGACATGTTCTGGCACTGCCGGGCCGCATCGCGATGACGTCTGACCGGGTCCGGCGTCAAGGCCGAAACCGGGCCGAAACTTGGCCCCCCCGCGGCCGCAAATAACTTCCAATAGTAAAGAATTGAGTTGTAAAGCGCGGAATGCGAAAAGTTATTCAAAGTTAGTCAAAGTTAGTCAAAGTTAGCCACAGTTATTCCAGGACGACTTGGGACTGGTCCCAAAGCGGAGAGTACGTCGCCCGCTCGACTGGGCCCCCCTCGCCAAACGAAGCACGCGGCAGAATACACCGTGCACGCGTTGCGATCGACTGCGAAGGGCGCAACCTGAATCAACCGCGCTCTGATGCGATCGCAGACCGGTGCAGCGTGCGCCGACACGAGGCCGAGCGCACTCCTCAAGAAAATCTGTCCGACCCCATCAGGGCCCACACTAAAGGTCACTCTGGCCAAGGGTCACTCTTACGTGTAGCCGAGGGAGGGTTGTGCTGGAGAGGGTGGTGCGGAAGGTTGTGTCGAGGAAAGTTGTGCAGAGAACGGCGGAGCGAAAACAGAACGCAAACAAAACGAGCGGCGCCGGGCCGCGCGAAAACAGAACGCTTAACAAAACGAGTGGTGCCGGGGGGTTGTGCTCGGGGGTGGTGCAGGGGGGTTGTGCCAGGGGGTTGTGCTGGGGGGTGTGTGCTGGGTGTGTGTACTGAGGATTGTGCCGGGAGGTTGTGAGAGTTGTGCTGGTGGGTCGTGCGGGGGGAAAGCTGAGGGGTTTTGCTGGGGAGGGTGGTGATGGAGAGGGTTGTGCTGGGAGGTTGTGCGGTACGTTTATGCTGGGGAGGGTTGTGCTGGGGAGAGGGGGGGTTGTGCTGAGAGGATTGTGCTGAGGGGTTGTGCTCGGGGGTTGTGCTGGAAGGTCGTGCTGGAGGGTTGTGCTGGGGAGGGTTGTGCAGGTGAGGATTGTGCTGGAGAGGGTGGTGTGGAGGGTTGTGTTAGGGGAGGGTTGTGCAGGGAAGGGTGGTGCGAAAACAAAACGCCACACAAAACGAGCGGCGCCAGGCCGCGCGAAAACAGAACGCTAGACGCAAAAAACGGTGCCAGGGGGTTGCGCTCGGGGGGTGTGCAGGGCAATTGTGCTTGGGGGTTGTGCTGGGGGGGCGGTGCTGAGGATTGTCTCCATTCTTTCCTTCGCCCGTCAAGGTTAAGAAACTGGTTCCAGCTTTTGCGAATTCGTTATTTTTGTTAAAGAAATTCTGAGACCCAGCTCGGGGGAGGGAGTTTCTAAACAAAAGATTTGAGTGTACACGTCGGTCGGAAGAAGTAGGTAGAAAACAGGAAGTAGGAAGGCGGATGTAGTGGGTTTGGGTCCAGGTCCTCCAAGATAATAACAAAACATAGCAAAAGCATGTCGATTCTTGAAGTAGGAAGGCGCTTGAAGTAGATTGGGATCTGGGAATCCAAAGAATACCTGCTTTCAACGACCGGCGTGTATACAGAACGAAAAAAGCGAATGTGCCCCAAATGCACGCTGTCCAGAAGGGTACGGGGCGATGTCTGCTTCTTGGGGGTCCTCCTGGCGGCCTCCTGGAGCATCTGGAGGGCCGCTTGGGCCGTCTTGGGAGCCATCTTGGGCCGCCTTTGCACGCTCTCGGGCCGTCCTGGGGCCGTCCTGGGGGTGTCTTCAGGCGTCTTGGGACCCATCTTTGGGCCGTCTTTTGCGCGCTCTCGGGCCGTCCTGGGGTCGTCCTGGGGGTGTCTTCAGTCGTCCTGGGAGCCTACTGGGCCGTCTTGGGCGTTCTTTTTGGGCTGACCCTGGGCCGCCTGGGGCCGAGCGGGGCCGAACATTGGGGGGGTCTCTCTGGCGGTGAGGTCCCCCCCTCTCGCTCGAGACATCTCCAGCCTCCAGCTCGGGGAGGCATCGTGGACCTCCTCGCTGGAGGTGGGCCCCCTGGTGGTGGTGTCGCATCTCCCCCCTCCGATGATACTTCTCATGGCTACCGGATCGCGACGCTTCGCGCGCTTTCCGCCATCCGCCGCGCCCACAGGGGTGCCTGGCGCACTGATGTCCAAGAAATTTGTCGTTCTGTTAGAAGCTCCCCCTGGGGCTTCGGTCCATTGCGCCGACCACCCGGAAGGCTTGCCCAGGCCCGGTTGCAAAGATTTGTCCTGCTCCAGATGGCTCCAAGATGGCTCAAGATGACCTCCAAGACGGCCAAGATGGCCCTCAAGTTCGCCCAAGATGGTCCGAAATGGCCCTCAAGTCGCCCAAGATGGTCCAAAATGGCCTCCTAGACGGCCCAAGAGTGTCCGAGATGCCTCCAAGTCCGCCCGAGAAGCTCCCAGACGGCCCCAGAGGCCCCCGAGAGGCCTCCAAGACCGCGCTAGAGGCCTCCAAGAGGTCCGCCAGGAGAACTCGAAGATGGTACAATCATGAACTGTGCGTAGGTTTTTGAAGGATTTCGGCATTGCTTCTTTTCGGCCTTCCGACGGCCCAAGAGGCCCCCAACATCGCACCAAGATGGCCCCGAAAGCCTCCAAGATGGCCCCATGACGGTCCAAGAAACCTCCAAGGCGGCCCCAAGAGGGCCCCAAGACGGCCCAAGAGGCTTTCAAGACGCCCAGGATGGCCTCCGGAACGGCCCTGAAACGCCCCAAGAGGGCCCCCGGTTCAGAGAGGCCCCCAAGACGACTTCCGACGTTCCAAGACGGCCAAAGAGCCCCCCAAGAAGCCCCCAAAGGCCCCCACGAGGCCCAAGGAGACCCCCAAGATGCCTTCAAGAGGCCCCCAGGAAGCTGCAAGGAGGCCCCAAGAGTGCCCCAAGAGCCTCCCGATAGGCCTCCTCCTCCTCCTCCTCCTCCTCCTCCTCCTCCTCCTCCTCCTCTTCCTCCTCCTCCTCCTCCTCCTCCTCCTCCTCCTCCTCCTCCTCCTCCCTAAGAATATTCCTTGTCATCCTGCCCCAAATGTTACCCGAAAAGTTTCCAGAGCGGCTGGGGAAATACATGGTCCGATAGCTTGGGCAGTCCTGGGACCAAATGCTTGGCCACAGAGGCGACTCCTAAAAAGGCAAGTGGCGGCGGTGATTCGCCGTAAGCGTCTTCGATAACGACCAACAGTCTGGTGCTGCTGATTCTGACAGGACAAATGTGGAGCACTTCTTCGGCTCCCGTCGACACCTTCAGCACAGAACAAGGAGGTCAACCTACATTTGATGAATGAGAAAGGATACCCTTCCCAAACACAACAAACATCAATGAATCAACTGGCAATCGTGCAACGGAAGAATACGGACCGCGAGACTTCAGCTTAGTGAGATCCTGCAGAGTCCTACCGTGCCATGGCGCAGCCAAATGTACGTCTTCAGCACGTGTGTCGGATCGCACACATCAAGCCAGAACCATCGCGTGCTTCTCGCGGGTTCAAGTTTCAGCGGAGCGCATGCGCACATCTGTGTAATCACACATGGTGTATGCAAGCCCTTGCAGATTTTAGCATGCGTGTGTGAATGCATGTGCACATCTATGTCCCCCGCTGCTGCTCTCCACCGCCACCCCCGAGTCCGCCAGCGGCGAAGACAAGAAGAGGGAGAGGACCACGCGCGGGGGCGGACAGGCGGAGGGTGCAGAGGGAAGGACGAAGGGCAATGATGATGAGGACAATGACGAGGGTGAGGAGGAAGCAGGAGGAGAAGAACGAGGGAGGCAGACGATCAGGGTGAGGGGAAATGGGGAGGACGGGCGTCCGAGGGATGAGGTATCGCATGCAGCCCGCTTGGCCTCAGGCTGAGGGAGGAGCATGAGCGTGGTGAGTATGGCAAGGACGACGAGGAAGGAGCATGACGAAGGTCAGGAGCATGACGAGCATGGCAAGGACGACGAGGAAGAGGGCGAGCAAGCGAAGGGGCCACCTCGGCAATCTGTTCCTATGCAGATCGGCACGTCACGCCGAGGCGGTCCATTGGGTATGTCGACAAGGCACTGCTCAAGCTGAGGCCACTACTTACCATACGACGAGGTACGATAGCAAACTGCCACGCGTCGCGCCATAACCTGTTGCATATAAAACACAGAGCGTCTATCTATCTGTTTCGTGAGTGGCTGGGCAGCCTGCCCGTTTGTCTTCGCTAGCGTCCCACATTCAAGGATGGCGGCTACGAGCCAGGCTCAAATTAGCCAGATCGAGTGCCCCGCCCGACCCTACCCTTTCTATCACATCATGATCAAAAGCGGGACGCATTGACTTTGAACTTGGCACGCGTCCCCACATAGCGAGCGGAAGACGCTCGCGTGCGGTCCCGCTGCCAACGACTTGCCGAAAGGACAGCGACGCTGACCGCGCAGCGGCGAAAGCGGAACTTCGGGAAATCCTTGCGAGGCGCGGCGGCGGGGGCACACTTTCGCCCTCTCGGGCGGCCACACTGACGATGGAGCGCGGCGAAGACGGCGCACGCGCCGCGCCGAGACAACACTGCCGCTTTCGCGCAGAGGCTGTGCGGCGCTTCGGCGAATAAAACTGCTCGCCCGACCTCGCGCGGCCCCGCTCCCGCTGCCGCTTTCATGCGTCTCGGCGAGCCCTTAGCCTCTGAGCGGCCCTCTCTCTCGGCCCGACGCAGGGGCGCATGCGGCCTGCTGGCGCGCACGAGTCCTCGCCACGCAGCCCGCCGGGCTGCGCCGCGAGCCGTCCGCCGAGCCCGCGCGGGAAAGCCACTTCCGAGCGACATGTGCACCGAGCTTGGGCGAGGGCGACAACGACGCCGGCTCGCGCGTGTTGGCGAGCGAAGAGCAAGCGCGCGCCGCGCAGAAGCGGGAGCGCCACCTTCAGGCGTCATCTGCGTGCGCGGCGCCGAGGCGACAACGGCATGTTCGTCCGCCCGCGCGTGGACGGCTTGGAGAGAGAGGAGTATGTGCGCCGCGGCAAAAATGAGCTCAGATCTCAGGGACGTAACCGCGGCGCCAAGGCGAGAGCGACATTTGTTTTGCTCTTTCGCGCGGGATGTGCATCCCGCCCCATTTCTGTCACGCAACGTCGACGACAACAGGTCCGTGCTGATAAGGAACATGTTGACTGTGACGAGTAGGGTGGGCCGTCCCGGACGGGGTCGCTGTCGGCCGGCTAGGAGGAAGGACCTCCTCCTCCTCCTACGTACTCCTTATCTTCATCCTCCTCATGCTCATCTGCTCTGAGAGCCGGCTTCCGACGTGGAGTCAGCGGCTTGCTGGGTCGGGTCTGTGTGATTGCCCAGGGTTGGCCGGCCGTTGCTGCAGATCGCGCGCAGAAGAGAACAGGCAGCACCGTTCTCAGACGTGGGAAGTCCACGTGTCTCTCGGGCAACGCCCAGCAAGCGGACCCGGCGGACACAGAGCAGCGGACGCCATGCGTGGAGACTAAGCGGACACAAATGTATGGAGGAGGCGAGAAGGCGGAAGAAGGAGCAACCGCGCGCGTGTGCACTTCGTCCTTTTGGCCAGGACTTATGACAACGGATGATCTTTGATAAACCAGTGTGCGCGCATGGTATCCTGCAGATGATGAGGTGGGAACCGATGCAGGCCTGCCTGGGATGATACAAGTTCATATTTAGGATGGACGATGGGGCATAACCAAATGTAAATTGCAATGCGAACAAGGGGCGCGGACAATCCCGGGGGGGGTAGAATCTAAGTCCTCTTAAGAAAAGAAAATCTGAGCACAATCGCAACAATTACCAAACTGGTGCGGCGACGTGCGACGACGAGGCGGCAACGGCGGCAACATAGCCGCGAGACCGCCAGACAGGCGCAGACGACGGGCGGCGACGAGGCGGCGACGGCGGCAGCATAGCCGCCAGACCGCCAGACAGGCGCAGTTCCTCAGAACATATGTAAGAAAGCCTCAGTGCAAGCACGTCTTGGGGAATGTACATGTGAGACGGTTGGCAAGTGAGAACAGCTGGTCGTGAGACGACAGACTCGTCTGGCCCCGACGCGAAATCATAGAGGATGCATCCACGGGTGGCAAGAATGGCGCCCAGAGACGTCCATCCCAGACTGCTCCGATCGCTGCCAGTGCTGGCGGCTGTGGCTTGGCGCCAGGCCTCGACTCAGCCGAACAGGCCTCCCTTGGCGCCCTGGCTCGCATGGTCGCCCTTTAGGACGAGGCTCGCCAAATAGCTGGGCTCCTGGCCGAAGAAGAACTTGTCGCTGGGGCCGATGAGCTGCGCGCTCTTGTCCATCCGGGCCAGGTCGACGGCCACCGGGTTCTTGGACAGCATGTTCGCCGCGTCCCGGTTGCCCTCGGCCACGAGGCGCGCGGCGTCCGCCGAGGCCCTCGCGCGAATGACCTCCGCCTGCGCGACGCCGTCGGCCTCGATCCTCGCCTTGTCCGCGGCCGCGGTCGCGTCGAGCCTCATCGCCTTGGCGTTGCCCCTGGCGGCGGTCTCCGCCTGCAACGCCTGGGCACTCGCCACCGCTCCGCAGGCCAACGCCTTCGTGAGCGCATTGTCGATGGGGACTGCCGAGAGGATGTTGATGGACTGTATCTCCACTCCGTAAGTCATAGCTGTCAAATTCGCATGCTCCACCGCGTCGTGCATCCGATCCACGTCGTACAGCGGGTTGTCCATGGTCTTGCGCGGCTTCTCCTCCGCCTCTGGTTCGTCTCCAGCAGGTGGCTGCATCTTCTTACCTTGCACGCTCGCGGCCATATGGAAACTGTCGGAGTAGTTTACACCGCCAATGAAACTTGCCAGAGACGCAATGGCCTGCTTTAGCACGTCCTGGCGCAATTTCTTGATATCAGAAGATACTGCCGTGGTTCCCACTGCCATCGTCTCGGCGCCCATTGTAGCAGCCAATGTCGGGTTCTTGATGCACCAAGTGACTGTGGACGTCACCTGCATGGTGATATTATCAGCACTGGTCGCTTTGATCTGCTCGAGATCATCTGTCTGCATCTTCAGTGTCAAGAACTTTTCAAAGCGCCAATTCTTATGGTTCAGCAAATGTGTGGCGCCACCTGGAAGAACGTGTTGCTTACCATTGTTCTGTGTCACTGCTGCGTAGCCCTCGTCCACGGTAATAAGAGTATATGGTCCAAGCTGGACCATGTGTTGGTCCAAAGAGACAGCCTTGTCGTAGGACAGCGTCTCAGACGTCCAGACATGTATCCCTGGCGGCAAGAGAACGGGCTGGCCATTGTCAAACGCTAATCCCAAGAAGCCCTGCTCCACCGTCAAAATGCATCGATTTCCGTGCACCAGCGCAGCGTTTATAGGAAGCTTCTCGGTACCACGGTGCGACATGAAGCAACCGCTGATATTGTGCATGCCAGGCTGCGCAAAAAGATATTCCTGCTTCTGGTTCATCAGAAGACCCACGTGCCCGGCTGGCACAAAGAATTCAGTATGACTCGAGCTGTAAAGGAAACACCCCAGAATTGGGCACACGTAATACCCGTATACGCACTTCTGCAGGATGTCGTTCGATTTGGAGGAATTCGCTGACAGGTCCACTCCATCAAATATATCCTCGAAGCACTGCTTCCGATACTTCGTCGTGAGGAGGCCTGCCTGCTTGAGCGTCATGCACCGAGGAGCAATCGGCGGCACGACCATAACGCGTCGGAGCTCCGACAGTGTATGGCTGTGCCCCCTTCGCCCCTTCGGATGTAGGACGGCGTGTCGTCCAGGTGGGCGAGCCCTGCGCCCCCGCCCGCGGCCATCCCCAGCATCATCGGCGCCGCCTCGGGCTCCCCCGGCAGCGTCGCCTCGGGCACGCCCTCCATCCTCGCCATGGGCGGCAGTCCGCGGGGGCCTCGGACGGTTTCTGCTTATGGCGTCGCTTCTTCTCCGAAGTAAATGCCCACCGTCCGCTCGGACGAGCGCTCGTGTCAAAACAGCTGGCGTTGAAAGAGGAGAGATCCCATCCCGTGGTCGGCTGGCGGACGCCCGGATGGCCAGAAAGGGCGGGGCCGAACGACAACTAGACAGACCTGCCCTAAGACACAAAGGCGATTCACAACAGCCGGTTGTCTAGGGGAACGAAAAACTAAGCCACCCAGATTTCTCGGAGATCCGCGCGGATCTCCGAGACATTATGTTGCGCATGTGTCCGTTCTTCGATCGTGTGCAGTACTGGCCAGTCGTAGCCTGCCAATGGTCTACTTGGTTGCTCCCGAGGCCCCCGGCCCTTACCGAGAACGGCAATGTAATCTCTGGAGCTCTCGACCCCATCCCCGATGCGAGTTTCTCATGAAGGGCCCTGCCTCACAATACCTTCGGACCTGGCTAACGGCACGCTGATGACCGCCTGAACTGGCACTAGTGGTATCTGCAATCGCGACAGAGCGAAAGCAAGATGAGAAGCGAGCCACTCGAACATCACTGGTCTGGCCATCGCTCGGACGTCCATTCCCCGCGTTCTTTTCGGCTTCGTGCGTGGCTATTTCGCCAAGTGATCCAGGATGCTCCTCGATGGTCCTTGCAGAATGAACAATGCACACGTCCGAGCGATGCCAGGCAGTAGGCCCTTAGTGTCAGAAACCATGCGCGGGTCACTGGTTGGCCACATTCACTCGTGAGCCACTGGCGGATACGTGTGCCATCCGCGGGCCACCCGTGGGGGACCAGTGGGGCATTTTTGTGTGGGCCAGGGGAGGAGGAGGAGGAGGAGCAGGAGGAGGAGGAGGAGGAGGAGGAGGAGGAGGAGGAGGAGGGGGAGGAGGGGGAGGAGGAGGGGGATGAGGAGGAGGAGGAGGAGGGGGAGGAGAAGGAGGAGGGGGAGGAGGAGGGGGAGGAGGAGGAGGAGGAGGAGGAGGAGGAGGAGGAGGAGGAGGAGGAGGAAGAGGAGGAGGAGGAGGAGGAGGGCGACGAGAAAAACCGCGGGGCGACTGTGGGCCACAGGGGCACGAGCACGTGGGAAGCTGGCGGGCCAGATGGGGCGGGGGACGGAACCGCAGACACGGAGGCCCGACTCGAGAACAGCGCCCGTCGGGGGGCTTCCGCGAGACGCCCCGAGGCGTGGGCCCCCCTTCCCGCGGCGGCGGCCACGACGACCCCATACGACCAGGGCTGAGCCTTCCAAGCCGCGGGCCACCAGAGGCCTCGACCCCTTCCTTCGACCCCACTCTCGAGGGCCCATTTTGCTCGACAGCTGCCTCCAGAGACTGGAGTTCGAGAAAAACTCCAAGACTGGAAAGAGTCGTGAGATCCGGGACGACGACGTCTCTCTGGCCGGACGCACGAGACGAGGTCTCCCAGGAGCCCACAGCCATCACAAGGAAAAACATGGCGTTACACGCATTCGGCAAGGAACCTCACCCACGATCGGGGGCGGCAAAGAGGGGGGTGTCCAAGAGGGGGGGGTGCAAATCATGACGGGCGGCATGTGCGCGGCCCAGCGGGGGGGCCAGGGACGTAAGGAAATAAGAAGAGGCGCCATGAAATCTGGGGAAATATCATGGCCCACGCCATGATATCCACCCCCCCCTAGTCATCACCCCCCTCTTTTCCGCCCCCGACACGACATAGGCGATCGGAGCCCCCGGAACATGTGAAGCCCATCCCCCCACTGGGCTATGCGACCCCGTTTCGGGTGTCCGCTGACGGGCCCGGGCAGCGAATCAGCGGAACGGTGGGGGGTGAGCGTGCACCTTCCGTGCGCCTCTTGGGTCCGCGGTGACAGTTCGGGGGTGGGGGGTGGGCCATTTAGGAGCCCACCAGGGCCACACTCCTGAAATCCTCGGTCCCCCATCGTGCGTTCTCACTAACAATCCAGACATTAAGACTTGAACTGTCGGAGGAGGAGGAGGACAGGGAGGAGGAGAGGGAGGAGGGATGAGGAAGAGAGGGGGGACAGGGGGACGGGGGGCTTCTTAGAAGGAGGCTGCTTCCCGGAAGGCGCGGGACTTACACCTGTAGATGGGGGCCGCGCCTTCAAAGCAGCAGGGGTGCTTCAACAAGCCCTCCTCCCTTCCCCCCCTACCCTTTTGTTGTTCCCATCGTACTGTGGTCCCCAAACTGATTCCGATCACGCACAAAAAAAACGAAACGGTGTCGAAAGAGTATCGCCTCCCAGGGCCCGACGCGCGAAGAACCTTCAGCTTCGGTACTTTCTCGGTGCTCGAAATGATTTCTGGTGATCAAGGCTAAAGCAGGCTGGCACATCAGAACCCTACCCCCCTCTGCGCGTCGCCGAATCTGACTGCTGCAACCGCCCCGGTCCCGGTGGGGCTCCGGCCTCGTAGCCTCCCGCCACGGCCGGCGGCGGCGCCGACGAGCCCGCCGCCAGGCGCCCGGGGAGCGCGGGGCCTCTGTGCGCAGGAGGCGCGGGGGGGGGGGGAGCACGTGGGCGGGAGGGGAGGGGAGGGGAGGGAGGGGAGAGCGACAGAACCCTCTGGCGCGTGTCTGCGTGTGGTGCACCAGGATCGGCCCCTGCAACCGAGAAGCCTTCGGGACAGGCCCGCCCAAAAACCAGGCATAGGGTTTCGGGGGCCTCGTCTGCTGCCTGTGGGAACAGCATGGCGATGCAGGCGCTCGAGCGTCGGCGGACAAAGGGAGGGACGAGGAGACCAACTACGAAGGAGACCTCTGGGCGTCGTCTCTGGGTGTGCACACGACGGCCTGCAAATTGCCCCCCAGGGCCGTCTCAGGGTCCCCGGGCCACCAGGATGCAAGCCGCGGCAAACGGAAACGGTTATGGATGGACGTATCCGGGAGCTCCAGGGACCACGCCGTGGCAAAGACGAAACCGGTGCGTCGACTGTCGGCGTAAGTCTGTAGAGAGAGGAGCAAATATATAATCATATATATGTATCGGGAAGAGGAAGAGACAGAGAGAGAGAGAGAGAGTGATAGCGAAAGAACAGCATCAAGGCAGCATGATCAAAAGACCAGCAGCACATGCCACAACGAGGCGGGAAACAGGAGAGGGAAGGAGGGGGAGGCATGTAGGGGGAGATAGCGGCGGGCGGCCGTGGGGAGAAAGCAGGACGGGGCCCCATCCGGGGTGAAGAAGGACATGCTAGCAATTACTACGTGCTCCCCTTGGAAGCACACGTCCAGCCGAAACCTATGGCACACGCATGTTGATGCATGTTCCTGTCCAATCGGCATGGCCACACTACGCCCGCTACGGTGCTAATGCCACAATGTGTTCTGGTGTGCGCGTATCGCCTGCGAAAAAGGCGCACACATGGCACGATGACCTCAAAGCTCGACCGACATGTCGGCGGCATGCCTTCCTGCAGCGCGCAGGCTGCTGAAGGCGCCGAATTGCCTGTGCCCGTGCCCCCCCCCACATAAAGGCCTCCTAGATGGGGTCGGAGTAGAAGGGGTCGGAGGATCGCGCCGCATCGCCGATACATCGGCGGTAATACATCGGCGATAATACATCGGCGATGCATCGGCGACGCCAGCGTCGAGAACATCGGGCTCCACATCGAGCTGCACCGCCGATGCATCGGCGATGCGGCGCGATCCTCCGACCCCATCTACTCCGACCCCATCTAGGAGGCCTACAGAGGAGGAGGAGGAAGAGGAGGAGGAGGAGGAGGAGGAGGAGGAGGAGGAGGAGGAGGAGGAGGGAGGAGGGAGGAGGGAGGGAGGAGGGAGGAGGGAGGGAGGGAGGAGGGAGGAGGAGGAGGAGGAGGAGGAGGAGGAGGAGGAGGAGGAGGAGGAGGAGGAGGAGGAGGAGGAGGAGGAGGAGGAGGAGGAGAGAGGCCTAGACCACAAAACCTCTCCGAGGAGCGAGGCCGCCAGCACTTTCTCGCCTGCACTCGTGCCCTCGCACCTCCGACGCAAGTCGGCTCTCGCTCTGCAGCGCGAGAGAGACTCGCCCGGTCCCAGGCGGCGGGTGCGCGAGAGGGGAGCTGCACAGACCCTCGGTCGCGGCACCCGCTGCCGGGCGAGCACTCGTGGCCTCGGTGGCCGACGGGAGGGCGGCGCCGAGGAGTGGCCCCGCTCGCGCCTCCCGAACAGAAATAAATCCGCCGGCCCTTTCAGCGTGTTGGGGTGTCGGTCCTGTCCCCAGGGGGGGGGTCCCAGGGGGGGAGTCCTTTTCCTCCTCCTCCTCCTCCTCCTCCTCCTCCTCCTCCTTATCTCCGCCTCCTCCTCCTCCGCCTCCTTTTCCTCCTCCTCCTGCTCCTCCTCCTCCCCCTCCTGGTCGTCGTCGATGTTCTTCAAGGTCGGCGGCAGGGGCCGTCAGGCCTTCACACCAGAAACGCCCCAGTCGGCGAGCGCGCAACGCTGGAGAGGTGCAGCCTCTCAGTCGAGGAACCCCGAGAGCCAACGAAACGCCTCCGCGTACCCCATCCGCATCTTGATGCTCGCCATGAAGACCTCTAGCGGCCGCGCGCCCTTCGTGCCTGTCGCCGTCTCCCTGCCGCTGGTCATGTGGTAGTGCAGGCCCAGGCTCGCCCTCAGCTCGTCCTCCGAGGCCGCGCTACGGACGTCGATCTTGTTGCCCAGGACCGCGATGGGCACATGAGCCAGGTCCGGATCCTCCAGCAGCCTCGACAGCGCCTCCCTGGCCTCCGCGAAGCGAGTGCGATCGGCGGAGTCGACTATGAAGACGATCCCGTGCGCTGCCGCGTAGTAAAGGCTCCAGATCCGCTGGGCCGTCTCGTGGCCTCCCAGATCGAAAGTGCTGAAACGCACGCCGCCCATGATGAGCTCCTCCTTGCTTGGGTGTAGGGTCGGCTGTGCCGTGGCCAGCTGGCCGGTCTTCAGCATGTGCAGCAGCGTCGTCTTGCCAGCATTGTCAAGGCCGAGGAAGACGACCTTGCCGCTCTTGTAGCCCAGCCCCAGAGAGTTCAGGATGCTGCGGAACAGGCCGAGCAGGAACATTGTCGAGAGCGAGCTGGGCCACGAGACAGGAGCGGGATCGAGCCTCGACTGAGGTCT